TCAACGGCAAAGCAGACCAACCCATCCCGCCCACCATCGCTCCTTACGAAAGCCAAATCAACGACTTCAGTGAGCTCTGCTACAAACTCTGCCTCAAGATCAACACCCTCCTCGGCATCGGTCTCCAAGTCACACCCCCAGACTTCTTCACCAACGCCCACCTCCGCGAAAAAGGCTCCTCAGGCACCATCCTCCGCTTCCTTCACTACCCCCCTCACACTCAAACCCCCGACGCCAACCCCGAAGCCGACGTCCGTGCAGGCGCTCACTCCGACTATGGCTCCATGACCCTTCTCTTCCGCCTTAAAGGTCAAGCCGGCCTTGAGATCCTGACCCAAGACGGGAAGACCTGGGCTCCGGTCCCGGTTGTCCCTCCAGGAACTGAGAACGATCCTTCGCCTCCCATCCTGTTGAATATTGGGGATTTACTTTCGTATTGGACTAATGGGTTGCTGAGAAGCACTGTTCACAGGGTGGTGTTCCCTGGTCCGGGGAAGACGACCGTGGAAGGGGAGTCGGACACGGAACCGAGGTACTCGATTGCGTTTTTCTGCCATCCTGTGGGGACGACGCCGTTGGAGTCTGTGCCGAGTGAGAGGGTGAAGAACCATAGGGGGGATGCGCAAGCGAAGCAGGGGAATCCGTATGCCGAGAGGAAGGTGTTGACGGCGGATGAGCATTTGCATATGAGGTGAGTTTGTTCCTGTTGTTAATCTGGGATGAGTGCTAACTTTTCGGGAATGATAGACTCAGAGCGAGTTATCTGCAGCTGTATAAAGACAAGGAGTAAGACCTGGGAGATGGGTGTGATACTATTGAGCTGCTGGATGGGTGTGTTGGAAGGATGACTTGTATGTGGAAAAGGCATGTTTGCCATCATGTTGCATACCTAGGTACATTTTGGACCCAACTCCAGAGCAAGGTCTCGCAACAAATAAGAAGGTCCGCTGGCGTAATGGCAGCGCGTCTGACTACGATTCCAAAAAATCAAGTTATCAGGAGGTTCCAGGTTCGACCCCTGGGCGGATCGTCCAATCTTTTGCACTTTCTCCAAGAATTCATTTTTTGGCGTTTTTTTACTTTTTGTGTGGTGGTGGTGGAGACTGGGGATGGCTTGCTAGGGGAGGATCCCTGACGTCGGCTCAGGGGGAAGGCTGAGAGTACAACCCTAACCCTTTGCATTCAGCAGCTGCTCACTAAATATCACCCTCAACACCCAGCTCAATTTCTTTTGCAAACACTGCTTCGGGTTTTTGCTGTCAATGCCGCTGAGAAGGTTCGTTTCTTTTAGTTTAAGGCGAGAGAAGAAAACAAATGTATTGAATAGGAGGTGAGGTTCAGAAGACCTCGAGACCGACCAAGTAAACCCAGCCCTCCTGATCGAGGAAGCAAAGCCCAGTTGGCAGATGGGGAATACCACTCGGTGTGTCCCGGTCAAGCCGATGAATTGTTGAGCTCAGATAGGTATTTTATAGATACCTGTAAGCAGCGGGCAAAGTCTCACGTGTTGTCCGTGGAGGTATTCTGACTACCTGCAGGGGTTTTCACCCAATTGGCGAAGTCTCTTGCGTCTCGGATCATAAAAAGTTGGAGACACGAATGAACGCTATTCGTGTCGCAGTAGATGCCAGCGGCCCTTTTGCCTTTAGATCCTGAAGTTTTGGTTGGAGTCTGGGCCCAGTGGGCAGGTCCAAGTCCACGAGATCCGCATCCCTCGAGGGCTTGACCTCGACCTGTCCACCACAATGAAAGGCTCGAAGTTCTCGGTTGATTTGTAACGCAAGACATTTAGGGTCACGATAGACTCACCGGAAATCATCAAGCCTGTGCCCTCCCGGACATGATGCTACCGTCCTTCGCGCAGATAACAGACGATACCTATGCTGCGTTGTTGTGTCACGCAGTACCACTTTCCGGCTGGGTTGGACAAGGGCTGCTTGACGTCCTTACCTATGCGGTGTTTTATGTGGCCTTGTTTTAATACTCCGTTGTTGTTGTTGTTGCAGATATGCGTTGGCGGTGGGTTAACTCAGGTTTGCTTGACATAGCGGCAGTGACAATATGCCATTATGGGCATGGTCGAGTATCGTACAGATAATCGTACCACCACCGCAACGTTTATGTATATTTTGTGCACGAGATTTAGTGGAGAACTTTTGGGTAGATGGCTGCACTAGCCTCCTTTAGGACCGTGACGTATAGAAAATGTGTTTCCGTGGGGTTTGGATGGACCGTTAGTGATGTGATGCAGTCCGTGTCTTCTGCTATGAGATCTGGCTCGGGCTTCGAGAGGGATCTCTGAAGTGCAATAAAGGATGGAAGTCTGAATTTTGGTAGACGACCTGTTTTGCACGAGGACTGTTGGCTCCCATAGGCAGCTGCGGGCCCCAGTGCTCACAAACTGTCTGTTTTCTTGTAAACTGCTAAGTGAAGGAGCACTCTTCGGACGCTCCGTCCGCATATGGTAGGTATATACCAGGTATATTAGTGGAGGTTAACCGCTCCTTCTCCCGTCTTACCGAACGAGACTCCCAGTTTAAGTGGACCAATGGCCTAACGGCACTGGGAGTCACGGGACGATCTTGTGGAAGACAGGCTTTTACCTAACAAGATGGCCCCGTTCGAGTCCGAACTAAAATCCTCTTTCGAGAGGATCTTCTTAGCCGACTACCTCCCACCAGGGAGTTACTCGGTGAGCTTTTTGGTCCTTTTCCGACTCTTTTTTCCCATCCTTTTTCTTATATGCTTTTCCAAATGCTACCTTACAGAACCTGTTTTTGGCCTGTGACTCTTTCTTCCGCTTTCTGCTTTGCTTTTACCGGTCTTTGAGGTATGCTCATGGATTAAGTTCAGGTAAGCGCGATGGTGACCGTGTTTGCTGCTAATGGGATGCCAAATGACCAACGGGGATTTCAGAGCAAACATCATTCCTATTAACCTTTTGATCCAACAGAAGAGACCCGGTCAGGAGGATGCAGTTTCATCAAATTCGTGGGGTTTTCTACCACAAAGAATGCCTCAAACATTTTATATATAAATCCTCTCCTCACCTTTTCTTTCCGCAATCTGTGATTCTCACTGAAAAACTCTCACATTTTGAGCTACCACAGGAGCTATTGACCATGGCAGAAAAACACAAAAATCTTACTGGGAAGTCCCGGGCTCCGTACCCAATCAGGTCATCCAAATCGTCGACCCCGGAGTCATGAAAGCGGCCCCCAGAGGCACGGATCTATTCCATATCAGTGCCCACAGCCTCAGTCGTTCATGGTGTCAAACAGCCCGCCTCAACGCCGTGGACACAGATGGGAAACCCGTCCAATACTTACTCAAAGGAACCTTCTCTCCTATTCACCGCCACCTCTCTTACTGATCTGAACTTTACGCCGGTGACCAAAGGCGAACGCGGCCGCGCAATGGTCATAGGGGAGTACACCTCCATGATCACTATCTGCTCCGTCGTCCCCAACCTAGTCCCCAAACCTCTCGCCTGGGGCGCCTACGGAAGCCTACCGGAAACATACTTCTTCCTCAGCCAGTTCAAACCCATGAGCTATGACTTACCCTTGGACGTGGATGGACGTGGAGAGATTCACCTCCCAGCTCGCTAAACTTCATCGCGAGACCACATCCCAAAACGGAAGGTTTGGAGTCGACTGTTTGACCTACCATGGCAGTACGCCGATTGAGCATGGATGGTCGGATACGTGGGAGGAGTACTTCACCAGGACCACGAAAGTGCTGTTGGAGATGGAACAATAGGCTCAGGGGCCGAATGAAGAGATTCTGGAGTTGACTTTGAAGTGGTTTGACTCGTTTGAGAAACTTGTCCCGAGACTGCTACGCCCGATGGAGACAGAAGGGAGGAAGATCAGGCCGGCGATGCTTCACGGGGATTTGTGACATGGGAACGTGGGGAAGGATGAGGAGACAGGGAGCCGGTTGTTTTTGATGCGGCGGGGTTTTATGGGCATAATGAGTGTGAGTCTTCGAGCTTGGTGTCTCTTTTTACTGTGTGTTATGCAATGCTAATGATATGAATGGCAAAGATGAGTTGGGGGTGTGGCGACAGATATGGAACAACTTCAGCGGGAGACCTTACTTCAGGAGGTACCTGAAACACAACCCCCCGGCGTGGCCCGAGGAGGACTTTGACGACAGGAATGTGTTGCATGCCACGAGGGTCAACATTTTGGACTCTATTTTGCACAAAGATGATGGTCGTTGCCGTACGGCATGAGTTCCCTTCCTCGGCCGCCCTCAAATGCACCACACGGCGCAATTTCTGACCTACTAATACCGTCTAGATTCGTTTATGCTACGTGATATTTGGTCCACATTTTCCCCGGAGGCTATGGCGAGTGGAAGGCAGAACATGACATGAATGGAGAAGAAGGGAGAATGAAGCAAGATGATCAAGACTGGTATCGCGCTGCCGTTCCGAACTTCACACCAACGCTCGAACTGCTGCCAAATTCCTAACATAGTCGTCGATTTATACTGGACTTTCATATACATGGGTAACTACCTACCGTTTATAGAAATAGAGAAATCAGTCAAAATATATGCAGTGCCCGAATGATAGGTATAGAAGATCTAAAGCACTATGACGTTGACCGGTGCTACAAACCCAACAAAAAGCAACGACAAATACACTTGTTTGTTTTGAAGCTGCCCGTACAACCCCTAAAGAGGCCGATAGGGACAGACATCAGAAACAAAAAGAGTCAATAAAAATACTTTACACTGGCAACAGTTAAGTCTCTTGCAGCCACACTGCAGCACATGCATCTTATATTTTGTACGCATCATCAAAACAAATCCTCTCGATATTAAAATCTACAAGATATCCGATGTAAATCAAGTCCTATCCGCGAAACAGAAAGAGTGGAGTTCTAAGGTATGTCAACAAAACAAAAAGGGGGCGCCCAACCACCCCTCCCCACGAATGTAACCCCACCACCCACTCCCAAAACCCATCAAAAAAATCACCCCCAATAGGTCCGCTGGCGTAATGGCAGCGCGTCTGACTACGATTTGGATCCAAATCCAATCAAGTAAATCAGGAGGTTCCAGGTTCGACCCCTGGGCGGATCGATTATTTTTGCCGTCCCCCCCTTTTTTTACGACCTCACTTACTCTTCACATCATCTTGAGTTTTCTCGACACCGACGAAAAAAACTCGGGACTTTGGTGTTATCTGTTGTGGAGCCCCATGATAGCCTTTCTGGTCGAGTTTTATTTTCGATGATTGATTTTCCCAACCTGGTGTTGAGTACATATGTATTGACTGGGTTGGTGGGGCAACCGAGCTCAGCAATAAGGGGTAGGTACCTAGGTAGGGAGCTACGAACATGGAGCTCAGTGTGCTCATCATCATGTCCCCTTGAACCTCCATTGATTGAACTCGGGTCCCGAGATCAGCGGTTTCCACACATGGTAATGATCCAAGTGGCTTGCGTCTGGCCAAAAAAAAAAAAAGAAAAAAGCTTATAATAGCGTGCTTGGGACATCGTGGCTGAAAGGATGAAAGTGGCAGGGTGGGAGAGACGAGACGAACCTGGGTAAATAAGAGTCCGGTACCGGATGATCCGGATCCTGCATTAATTGGTTTTTTCCAGCCGATTAGTTCAAGTTTGAGGGTGTTTGTTTCTTTCAGTAGTTCTCTGGATCACGTTCAGCCAAAGGGGAGTCAATATGGAGAGACACGTACCTTTTTCTTCTTTGCCGCAGGATACTTACGGTACGGTACGGTGGTGGGTAATTCCTTTGTATATTTTTTGTTTCGTTTCTGATTTTTTTGTAGTTTTTGTCGTGTGCAAAACAATTACCTTAGGTAGTGACGAAACCAGCTTACGTGCTTTCTCATCTCCTCCCTAAGTACCTGAAAGTCATGCCCGTCTTTTGCTGATAAATCAATCCTATCCAAAAAAAGATCCTATCCAAAAAAAAAAAACTTTGATTTCCCACCTTTTTGATCTTCTCAGAGAATATTGGAGATGTTGTTTGTCCCGCAAAACAATAACGCTTTCAATGATGAGTGAGAAGAATACAATGTTTAGGGGCGGGTGAGACTCACCGTAATCATACAATCTGATATTTTCCCTCGACACACAAAGTGATAATGCAACGTCTGCGCAAGACATCGCGACAACTGTAGTCACCACTCAGCAAACGATACTCGAGGGGCAATAATCACGCCGAAAAGACGGATTTTCCTCTCAAGAATGATCAGAATTGGGACAGGAAGCCAGAAAGATACAGTGGTGTGTTGAGGGGACTGGAAAGATGTGGACATGGAAAACATGCGGGGAGGAAGCATAGGCTTAGCCCATACTTACTCAATACGTCACACCAGTGCCCAGCATTCAGTGTTCAGCTTCTTATCCCCTTTGATTTTGGTCAGGCGCCATCTATCCCAGAAAACATAGCCCCAGTCCCGGGGGCTGGCCTTGTGCACATTGTCATTGTAGGTGTTGATGTGTTTTCCCTTGCAAACCAAGACCCAACCATAAGAAGGCTGGCTCTCTGCCTCGCCAACGTAAGGGAGGGGATCTTCCCTATCTTCTGCGAGGTCATCATCTGTAGTAAACAGACGACGCCTCTTCTCTTGCACATCTTGGCTTAAGATGTTCTCCATGAAGCCATATCCAGGAGTCCGCGGGTTGCCGGGCCGTATGGTGATCATGCTATAGCAGTCAGTGTCCGTCAGGGCCATGTCAAACCCCCGTAGGCCCCAGGAAGCTGCACCGCCGATAAGGGCGAATTCATGGTTAACTGCTGCTCGGGAGTCAGCGAAACACAAACAGTCCAAGAATGCTCGCGTGTGCCGTTGAACACACCGTGGAAAAGTTTCTTCTCCATCATCCGGAGGCGTGTCATCATCTCATCTTGGACCAAGGTGTACACAGAGAAGATCTCTTCAACCTCCCAAGGCCTGAAGAGACAAAAGAAAAAGTACAATACTTCCTCTTCGTCGAAGCCGAGTTGGAGGAACCGTAAATCTCCTCCGAACAGGCAGCTATAGAGCTCGAAGCGGTAGAGTGCCCTCAGGAGACGTGTGTTTTCCGTGGTTGACAGCTTGGTGAACGTGGGTGGACGCTGAGGGTCAAACTTGGAAAGAAAGAAGCGTGCGCATTGTACAGTAAGCGGTTGAGCATATCTCTGCCAAAACAAGTAGATTTGAAGTAAGTAGTCCTCATCGTACTTATCGATGAGCCTACCGATATCGGGCTCGACTTTGCGGTGGTCATTGTACTTGTCCAGGTGCTTCCTAACTTCGTCCTTCTTGACTGACTTGTCACCTCGCAATGTGGCAGCTTCTTGAACAGCCAAGGCATCGACTAATACGGTACTCAATGACATCATGAGGCATCCAGCAAGTAAATCCTTTTTATTCAGGAGGTACTGCTGGAAAAACATGGGGGATGCTCGCACGAGGGACATTAGGTCGCTGAAATCGGGGATAGAGCGGAGGATCTTCAGACGAAGCTCGGGGGCAGCAGTTCGAGTGATCGAGGCTCGGCGGGTAGGACCTCCAATGATCGGGACTCGGATGCCAGCCTAGATTGGGTGGTTGCCTTGAGTGCGAACAAGCCCGCCAAGCGATCGTAGATGTACCACAGAGTTTCGAATAGCTGAGGCTTGGATGCCACCTCAGATTCCATTCCAGGCTTGGTAGGTAGAACCTCCGATGATTGAGGCTTTGATGCTGGGACAACACGGGACGTTGTCCAGGACGCGAATAAGTCCACCCAGCAAGAGATATATCCCGTGACCTTTCGCCACAGAACTTCGAGTAACCAAGGCTGTTGTAATGCCTTGGAGTTCGTTCGAATCTCGGTGTGTACTATCTTCAATGATCCAGGATTAGATGCCAGCCCAGGTTGGGCCGCTGGCTCGGGTGCGAACAAGCCAGCGCGGGCATCTTGGTAGGTCTTGGGCAACGCCAATAGAGGAATAATGAACCATTGAAAGATACAATGTAAAAACCAGAGGCGTTTCATGTTGATGCCACCAGGTCGAAGTGCTATATTTTGGCGAAAAGGACAGAAATGCTGGAAATTCATGTCAGTGAGCGGACACATGGAATAAATTTTTTTTCTCGTAGACTCAGACTAGACACTTCACTAAGCCCATGTGGAAAGCCATCGTCACTTTCGCCAGCAACGCCGCCTCCTGTCGCTGATACGAGCAGCTGCATTATCGTGGGGCTCACGGACTGATGGACGTTGAAACTCTTGCGCCCCAGACAGCACGCAACCAAGCGAGATCCTCATCCGTACCTCCGAGATGTCGTTTCATCGTAGAGCATGGCGATAAGTGTGGGATAACATCATGAACCATCGATCAGGCCTTATCTCCGTGCGATGACAAAAGCCAAGGAGTCCATAAGGTATCGACGGGTGGGCGAGATTCTGATGAGGCCGGTGGTTGCAACTTCTGGTTCTCGGCTGAATCCTGTTGGGGTTTGTTGGGGTAATGGGATCAAGTAAGTGCATTGCTGTCTGTTAGTTCCAGAGGGGAAAGTCTATACGTCATGGCTGGGGCGTTGTTGGCCTTTTCCTTGACTGTGGGTCGGTTCAAGAGGCGGAAGAGGTAACGTGAGTGTAAGAAGAAGCAGTTGATTGAGGATGGTTCCAAAGTAGCTATGGGGCTAGCGGGACGTGTATTTGTCTCTGGTAGTCCACCCAAGTCCCTGACAAAGGGGGCAATGACAGAGGTAAAGGGAAAGGGAGGGCAGCCGCGGAAAGCGAAAGGGAAAGCCATCGCTCGGAAGGGAACCTGGAAAGAGGGGATGGTGTCAACCTTTATGGTTTAGTAGTACTAGACCGCCGAACCGTGGTTGAACTTTATCAAAGTGAAGCCAACGTCACGATATGGGGGCTATCTCCCCTCATGAAGATGCCTTGCAGCAGTAGTGCAACAGCTCCAACATCACATGGCCTCAAGGCGGTCAAATTTGTCTCCGGCACCAATGCTTCGGATACTTGGAACTACGGTACCACCCCAGAGGCCCCACCCTCGGCTGTCACAGCTAGCTCCGCAGCTCTCTCCATTCGTCTTGCCTTTCTGTTCCCTGTCGCCTTTTGCAGCTGCTCCCTCCTCTCCTGTTTCCGTGCTGCCTTATCGACGACACCAATAACCTTTTGCTCACCAACTACGGGATGCCTGGCCGCCGCGGTAGCCTCGTCCTCTTCAGTCCACTCTCTTGGCAGAGTGGCAAACACGAGATAAGAAGTGTGTGTCTTGATCTCCGGCTCGCCGCGAGTGATCAGCCGACCTTCCATCCAAAGAGGCATCCCTGACGCTGGTGTCTCAAAGCTCTCTGGAGAGGCAGGTTTGTGGTCAATCTTGACTTTCTTGTCACCACCGCGCTTCTTGCCGCCTTTCTGCTCTTTCTTCTCATGCCGCTTGATTAGTCCGTCATCGTCACCATCCATCTCGTCATCCGACTCTTTCGACTTTGCGGCATGCTCGCGGAACCGAGTTTCTATCTCGGTCAGTCTGGCGAGAGCCTCATCAACATCCCGAGCCGAGTTGTTGACACCACGGTCCATGGAAAGATTTAGACCGACGCGCTCACGTGAGGTGTGATATTTTCGGTTGGCGATCTCGACCATGTCGATATCCACCCATCCCAGGCGCCGCAATGCCGAGACGGTCTTGGTGACTTGTTCGATACATGGAGAAAAGGTGCAGATGTGGGCGCTCTTCCTTGGGTTTAGTGGTGATACCCAGTCCTTGTCTTGTGGATTCTTGGGGTTCCGTCGTGACAGGTGATGTAGTGCCTCCCATGGGGCTGGAAGGTCAAGGAAGATGGCCTCAGCTTCGGGACTCTTGCCATCGATCAGGAACCCGCCATTGTAAACATCCCGATGTGTCAGGTGCACCAGGCTATCAAGATTGTGTTCCTCCAGCTCCTTATTCATTTTGTGATATCGCTGCTCGTGAAATTCGAAGCTGTAGACTTTGCCTTTGCGCTCGCCTTCAGTTGGGTAACCGTTGTAAACGGCTCGTACAGAGGCATGGCTGAAGCTGCCGCTACCAGCACCAGCCTCGATCAGCACAGAGCCAGGCCTGGCGCGTATCCTGTG